ATCGGAGAAGCGGTAGCGCCATTTCTCAGACAGTCGACCTGCGGCAGCAGCGACCTCTTGTTCCACGAACTTGCGACACACGCCAATGCCGTATGGAGAGGCGTCGCTGCAAAAGGTGGTGGCCGCCCACTCTGCCCTGACATCAGCCCACCACAACGGGATGAGGGAAGCAGCGGCACGGAGCTCAGAGACGACTGACGGCCACAGCGGCAAAGCCCGACGCGAGTCCTGACCCATGAAGCGGTAGACTGCGTGGAAGATGGAGAGCATGGGCCTGTTGGTGATCATCCCCCAGGTGCAGTGCCCGACCACGGCGGACAACGCAAGCGGGGATGCGAAGCCACGTCTGAGTAGCCCAAGTAGGGCCTGGCGCAACCGAGACAACCGGTCCACCTTGCACCTGACGACGCCGACGTCGCCCAGGATGTCGAGGCCAGTGAAGGTGACGCGCTGCGCCGCGGGGGCGAACTCTTCCACAGGTAAGCCCCTAGCAACCAGCACGTCTCGAATGGCCTGGCACGAAGCGGTGGCAACTTCTGGACTGAGTGAGACGGTGGCGAAGTTATCCACGTAGCCAGCTGCGATGATGTCGCCATGGTCTCGCAGAGGACGAGGTGCTGAACCGTCTACCAGCATCGCATCATCGTCGATCCCCGAGTCGCGTATGGCTGTGGTTAAGGCTGACTAGCAAAAGTGGAGAGCCCACGACCACCCCATCGGCATCACAGACACAAACGGTTGTAAGAAGGCCTTCGTGGGGAGCTTCAGTCCATTGATCGCCTTGAAACCCAAGTACCGATTCGGGACCACTGGCAGAGAGAAATATCTGTGCAGCTGGGGCGGCAACTTCATGTGATAGAATGCGCACTGGATGTCACCCTGCGCCACGTAGAAGTCATCCGAAGCCTCGAGTGCACTCCATGCCGACGGAGTCGGCAATCTCGTAGAAGGGGGGGCAGAGAAGGACATGTTGGCAACCCGCGTGTCGAAGACGAGCCGAAGGTTGACCCCATTGGATTTCTCGACGAAGAAGAAGCCTGTGGAGTAGGGCGCCTGACGTTCGGCGACCTCCCACTCTAGCATGCCAGCCTGATCCAAGCGCAGCAAAAAAACAGCATACTCCCGAGGGCGAAACCGAAGGCGAGGATCCACGTATGGCGAACCGATGCCCGAGTCCTTCCTGAGAGTAGCTGTCTCCGCGGGATCACGTAGCATTTGTTGCCTCCACCCTGACAACGTTGAACGATCGGCGTCGGACGCGAGATCGGCCGTGGGAACGGGGGCCACGTGCTTCGGCCAGGAGACGAGCTCCTTGTCGTAGGGTCTCACCCGAGACTCACCAGAGTATCCAGGCGCCGACGCGAGCAACTCTGCCAGGGCTGCCTCGCATCTGATCGGAGATTCGGAATATCTAGGAGGTAGTTCAAAATCGCGAGACTGTTGAGCAAGATACTCTTCAGCGTCGCTACGAGCGCGCGGAGGAAGACCTGGAGGCGGAGTAACCATATCATCAGGGTCGCAATGGTACATGTCGTTGAGGGTGGACACGGCATCGTTGTACCACTCTCTCCAGGCAGCACCCTTGGCAGCCCGTCCGCGGGCTGAACCACCCATCGACGCGATACCAGATCGTCGCTCCACAGGGATAGGACGGAGAGGAAAAACGTCACGCTGCCGAACTTGATGAGCAGCGCTGGGGCAATGTGCCTGGCTGGCGCCACTGAGGCGCGCCCCACAGCCAGGCCTGGACTTCTCAGATATCATGGCGCCCGCAAGGCACGCTCCTCACGCGCCTTGCGTCGTTCTTTGCTGATGGCGGCCTCCGCCTTCATCTGATCTGCGATGTACTCGAGCAGCTTCGGAGAGATGCACAAGTTGGCCTTGGAGACCCCCGCGCCCAAGAAGTAGCTCGTCTCGGGCATGCTGACGGCGGTGGCCGTCGCGGCGCTCCTGGCTCCAGACTTGGCCTTGGGCGCGGCAGCCGTCGGGGGCGCCGAGCGAGACTCGTACACCCGTTCCTCCAGCAGCTGAAGCTGACGTGCGACGACCTCGAAGGACGCCATCTCCGCCACCTGCAGTTGGTCGTAGACCACGGCGAGGTCTAAGACCCGACAGAGGGTCTCATGGAGCTTGGCGTACTCGTCGTCGTCGGCCAGGGCCATGGCCGTGAGCCACCGCTGATGCCACGCGGTGGGCGTCCCCGCCATGGTTGACATAAAGGACAAGCACCAGAGAAGAGTACGCGGGCCCTGGATGGGCCAGCCCACCACCTCGGTCTCTGAGAGGCCGTTCACCGTCTCGCCGAACCTCCGCTCGCGCTCGCCCCGCTGGTTGATCGCCATCGGCAGCACCCTGAAGTCGCCAGCAGGAACGGGAAGAGCATCGACCGCGAGAGCGCCACCAGCCGCAGCTCCAGGCACAGGCGCCAGCGGCGGCGCCGCGGCAGGGCCAGGTGGCACGGGCCCCAGAGCGGCGGCCAGCGCCGCGACTCCAGGGGCGGCCCCCGGCGGGACGGGAGCAGCAGGACCATCCGCAGGTGGTAGGGCGAGAGGCGGCGGCACGGCGGCGGCCGCAGCTGCTGGGTCCGCCAGCGGGCAGGGCCCTGGAGGCGCGCCTGCAGCATTGCCCGCCGCGAGAGCCAGAGGAAGAGGGTCCGCTGGCATCGGGTACCCCGCGGCCACGGAGCGACCCACGGCAGCCCACAGCTCCGCGGCCGTCGGCAAGCGTCTGAATCGATGCACTGCGGCGCCGACCAGCGCAGCAGGCGTGTCGCCCTGTCCAGCCAGCGGCAGCACGGCCCGCACGTCGGGCCCCACCGCGATCGGCTCATCGTAGTCGTCGAAGTCGGGCGTGACGACATACGCGAACCCCGCCGAGACCCCGAGCACTAAGCGCTCGTGCCACAAAGCCACACCTCCCACGCGGTAGCGAATAGCGTGGAAGCCTCCCGCCATCACTGAAGTGCTGGGGCTCGGGAGCGAGCAAGCCTCACCTGCTCGGCAGCGAGCGCGTCGATGTCGATCACCTCCGTGGGCAGCTCACCACCCGTGGGCTCGAGCGGCGGAGCAAGTGCACGACGAGCCACGAGGACGCCTGCACCAGCGCCGACGGCGAGCCCGACCGTGCAGGCGGCCACAGCGTACGCCGCCACGATGTCCGCGCACGAGGGCTCGACCACCTGCCCGCCCGCGCCCGCGCACACGCAGGATGGGCAGGAGAGGGTCGGCGGCGCAGGACACGCCAAATGTGGGGAGCAAGACCCGCAGCTGGGAGCCGAAGCGCGGGCCACCAGCGAGGCCCCCAGTGCCTGCGCCCCGAACCTCAGGACGTCCGCAGCATGGTGGGCGAGGTCCTGCATTCCTGGGCAGGACACCTGAGAAGCTTGAGAATGGAAGTGCGGCCCGAAAGAGAGCCACAAAAAGCCGCGGGCAGCAATATGATGATGATGATGATGATGATGATGATGATGATGATGATGATGATGATGATGATGGTGGTGATGATGATGATAGTGATGATGATAATAATGAAAGTGACAAGGACAATGATAAATACAAGAATACTGGTAATTTTAATGAGGATGCCAATGGCAATGACAACGATTGTTATAACGCTAATGGTACTGGTGATATTACTGGTACTAATAATAATGACAATGATAGCGAGAATGGTAACGACAATGATAACGTTAATGACAATGAGAATGAGACGGATGATGACGATGACGAGGACGATGATGATGACGATGATGGTGATGATAATGGTGGTGATGATGACGGTGGTGCTGATGACGACGACGACGACGACGACGACAACGACGAAGTTGTACAACGTACCTCTTACCTGCTTGGAAGTAGCTCCATTGTTCGGAGGGTCGATTGTGCGGTAGTGTTCTCATGATGCTGATGACGGTGCTACCCCTGGTGATGCTGATGTTGACGCTCGTAATGATGGCGTGTTCGACGACGATGAAGACGAAGAGAGTAGAGGGAATCATGATGCGTAAGTGAGGGGTGACGACACATCACGAGAGCCCGACACGTAAACCAAATCAAGATATATGGCATGTGATAGCGGCACGCATTAAGGCGGCGCTATTCGGATACACGCAACAACATGAGTAGGCGATGTGCGCCAATATTTGGTTTGGCATATCCACGTCGTATGGCGGAGGATATTCAAGTGGTTTTCCCCTCCCAAGTACACGTGCTTCCCTTCCCCGTCCCCCTTTTCTAATCCATGCCCCTCCCAAACTCCGCCGTGTGGGAGTGGCAAATAAGACCGACGGAGCTCAGTCTCAGATTTACAGATTGCGAGAACAACAAGCGTACCGAAAGAGGACAGGGATGAAGTGGTGACCACCTGCCCACGAGAGCAACACCCGAAGAAGCCAAAAGTGGATTGTTCAGCGCTGAGCCTCAACGATGCACCGCTGTATCCATTGGAGTACGAGCTCGCACTGATCGTACGTAGCAAGCAAGTGTCTAAGGTGGGGTGTGTCTACGCCAGAGAAGTCGATAAACTCCAGTTTCAACTCGGAACTCGTTGAGCACTGAGACAAAGCACATCCGTACAAAAGACTGAAATATCTCGCGATCTCGTGGATCCAGGCTTCGAGCGTCTCCCGCTTCGCTGGGTCCTGCCGGACAGCATGAAACAGGGTGACCGACACAAATGCTCAACAGCATGATCTCCGAGTTTAACACACGTTCACAACGTTGGTGCACTCAGAAGGAGTGACTTTACACCCGCGTTTGGTTCAAGCGAAGATTCAGCCCCCGACCCTATATTCCCAAATATGTTACTTTTACCAATGGCCTAGAATATCATATGGAATTGTTGGTGGCGAACCAACACATTCGCAGGTGTGGCCGAAGGAACTGAGGTCGATGGGGAGCCGTGTCCTGGTTCCCGAACGCGACCAAGGACGAGTAGGCGTTAAACCAGTCGGCGCGCACTTCGTTCAGGGCAGCGCCCGCACTCCACCATCGGTCGTAAGCCTTGCGAAGTGCAAAAAAACAGGAAACATTGCAGGAAACGTATGTACATCCCACCAGCCCTCTGAGCGTATGGTTTAGGGCGGTTCCTCTTCCAACTCCGTATTTCCCATTCGGGGAGGGGGAGTCTCACTGTTCCATACTGAAAGACACCCGTCCCCCACCCGACCAGCGACAAACCACGGGCAATGCCACCCCACCCGCTCCCTGTCAAAAGACAAAGCAAGCAGCACCCTGCGATAAAACATTGGGTCATGTTCGGGGATCCCCAGGGCACTTTGTATAGCTTGTTGGCGAGGACCACAGGGGGTGCCGACACATGGCCTGCTGCGCACAAGGCCACCATCATTCTCAAACTTTGCGGCAAAATCTGGATCATGCGTGGACACCCGTGATCCCTTGATTGACGGAACGAAGAGGGTTCTGGCATATTGCCTGCTGTGCGAAGGCCCACCAGACAGCATGATGGACAGCCCGCCGCGACAAGGCATGGGTTTTCGACAAGGAAGACGAAGCCGACATGTCTCCCGATGTGCACGGGAGCACATAGCACACTCTGCGCGTGCCCCGAGCGTTGCGCACCTGGCGCGGTTGGAACATGCAACAAACTCGGCTGCATCAGGCGTGCCTGGCTCGCTTGGGCCCCAGGGGCGCGTGGCGCGCCATGCCCGCGCGGCGCACTTCGCCCCGGCGTCGCACAGTTGGGGTCAGCGCTGGTTCCTAGTAGCTGCCATTCCGTAAACGACCGCAAGATATGCTGAGACCCATATGCGACTCATGTGTTGGGAGGGCGGGTAGGAATGAGCCAAGACGCTGGGAAAGTGTTGATCACCGCTCCCTGTTTACAAAGACCAAGTCCCCAACCCGACACACACAGACAGCAAACCCAGACCAATTCGACACCCACGCACCCCCCCACCATCATCCCATACAAAGGAAGTGCACTGAAATGCTCCTTGCACCCAAATCTGGATCATGTTTGGACGCCCCGCGATCACTTCGCATTGTACTTCCGGCAGGGACAGCGGAGGGGGGGACAGCATATTACATGCCGCGCGCAACGCCAACACCCCAACCATCCCTTGCAAAAAAATCACGTGCACTTTGTATACAAATCTGGACCCCGCGCGTGCAACCGCACCAAGAACAAGCATATATACTTTTCGTCGGCGGCTAGGCATAGTCACTGCGCTGGCGATTGACAAACACACACACACACACACACACGCACGCACGCACACACACACACGCACGCACGCACGCACGCACGCACGCACGCACGCACGCGCGCGCCCACGCACGCACGCACGCACGCACGCACGCACGCACGCACGCACGCACGCACACACACACACACACACACACACACTCACACGCACACACACACACACACACGCACACAAACGCACACACACACACAGACACACACACACACACACACACACACACACACGCGCGCGCACACACACACACACACTCACATTCACGCACACACACACACTTTTTGTTTAGGCGTCGCGGCCCCAGCCGCAGCGACAGGTCGAAAAGGTCGAAAAGCAGCAAGCGTGCCACACACACACACACACGCACACACACACACACACACTTTGTAGTAGGCGGCGCAGAAAAACCTCAGGCGCGGTCGGTGGGTGGAGGTGCCAATTGCGAACGGACTTGGTCGAAAGCACCATGATGAAACAGACCGGCCACGGCCATGCAGCTTTGCGGTTAAAGACGAGAGGCGCTCTAATGCAACAATGCACCGGCCGAAAAAAACGAGGCACATAAGCTCGACGCGGGTAGTTCCAAGCGCAAGCAGTGGTGCCAGCTGGCGCCACTGAATCATCAGAGCGATGCTTTACAGTGAAGACAAAAAGCATAAGACTGTAAAGCTGCCAGGCCATCGAAAGGCGAAGTGGCGCTGAGAGGGCTACTGCCTGCGAAACTGACGGGCACGGTGCTAACCTACGAACCAGCGACCACGATGCATAAGCATACCTGTGTGAACCGCTAGCCCCGACCGACGGTGACAGGCGCAGCACACGTAGCACGGAACATGGGGGGCCGGAACAGATATTGCGAAAGCCGCGCCGTAAAATCCTCGGTGGGTAACCACACCACACAAGGTAGCCAGCGTCAGCGGCGCGCCCAGACGGGCCAAAGAACAACCTATAATAGAGCGTCGACCAGGACACATCGGCGGGGCAGCGCTCGAGCAACACAAACAAAACGCGACGTGCACTGCACGCACCGACGTCTAGGTCGCCACCAAATCGACCAAGGACGTCTCGGACAAGACGCAGAAGGCCGCGATGCTCGCCGAAGGCCCAGCTGTGGAGCCCACGCCGAACCAGAAGGGACGCATCGAGTGTCGGACAGACCTCGGCGGTGGCTGAGGCAAGAATGCCACCCCAGAAGGCCCGCCGACACGGCGTCAGGAACCGTCTACACGGGCGAGCGGCTCGGATGGCCCTGGACATGAAGGCACCAGGAGAGAGAACTCCAGGCGCCGCAAATAAATCTGCCGGAGTACGGGCAAAAAAAGGATGACGCAACATCCCGAACAAACAGACGGGAGGCGGCAGCTGGAAAGGGTGCGGTTGGGTACAGCACCGCAAAGTGAAACAAACCCCAGAGCCCCCGCCACCGCGGCCCCATCCTAGCACGCACAGCCCAACGGGGCCGCGCCACACCAGGAAAGGGGCCGACGCACAGAGAGGGCGAGAGAGAGAAAGAAAGAGAGACAGAGAGAGAGAGAGAGAGAAAAAAAAAAAAAAAAAAAAAAAAAAAAAAGGAAGAAGCAAAAGAGGCGCACCGCGCCTCCACGAACGCCAGGCGCCCACGCCGGAGCGGCCCCAACACCCGCGGCGGGGACGACCCAGAAGGAAGCGGAGAGGGGGGGAGAAAGAGAGCGAAGGCAAAGGCAGGAAGGGAGCCTGGAGAGACGACGGCGGGGGACCCCACAACGCAGCGAACCCGCGACTGACGACAACGACGACCAACCCGAACCCCGCGGCCCAAGAAAAAGAGGAGGGACCGACGAACCACCACGGGGGGGGGCGCCGCCGAAGAGCGGCGGGAACGCCACGCCACCTCCGACGGGAAAGAGGAGAAGGAAAAGGAACGCGGCGACCCCAACAAATCGGCCACCGATGCGCGCCCGACAAGCGCAATCCAAAAATTTCGCCACATACTGCGGCATTTTGGATCGGGGCGATCCGCGCGCGCAAGAACGCCACGCGACAAGCTACAACAGAACATGCTGCGACGTCGAAGCGGGAACGCGCACTTTCGCCAGCGCACTATCAATTACAGCTCGAAATGAAACCCCGAACCACCGCGGGGGGGGGGGCGCCGCCGGAAGGCGGCAGGACCGCTACGCCACCTCCGCAAGAATACAAGACGCCACGGGGCCCGTGGCCGGAAGCGGCGGAAGCAACGGCGAGTGAAACGCGGCAGAATCAAAGTCAACAGAGCGGCGCGCGCCCATAGCGACTCCTCGACGAGTTACGGAGCACAGCAGGCGACTCGTCGGCGCGCGACAAGAGCGACTGCTCGGCGTGCAACAAGGCAAACAGCGACAGATCGGCGCGCGCCCAGCGCTTGACCGCCCGAATCAGGAGACTGCACTGCGGTGCCCCGCTCGCTCGCAGCGAGAAGCCGCACAGGAACGCCACGCCATGCAACAGCCGAGCCAGCGCGCCGTTACCGCACTGCGCGCAGCTGCCTCTTGGAGGCGCCCTCAGGGCCAGCCACGGGCCCGGGCGAGTCAGAGCCTTCGCCTGCTTCGGGGTGGCCAATCGGGTTTGCCGAGGCCCGCGGGGCGCGCGCGCCGGCCGGGCGCCGCCAGAGCATTCTGGCACGGAGCAAAGAAACGCGATCACGACCTGTCGCGGAACAATTTCGGGGCGAGCTCGCCTCTTCAATTTTTTCTGCAGCCCCAGGTGAAGCGACCCCAGCGTTCGCGAGTCCACGGGGGTAAGCCCACGCATCCTCGACCATCAGACAGAGGTCACCCTGCGTTAGCCAGGCGAGTCGAGGCCCACCCCAACACGGCGCCTCCGCCGCGGGCGCGCGGGCCATGATCGGTGGAGGAGCGGTGGAAAGCACGCGCCCGTCGCGCGTTGCTGCCACTGTCGCTCGCAGCGCCGACCGCCAGGCTGCCGTCCGCGACGCCATCGAAAAAAACACCCAGCGCGAGAGAACTCTGGACCTCTGATCGCGCATCGGCGTCGTCCGCATTCGCGCCGCCCGAACGCGCGGGGCGGCCGCGCGCGCCCAGGCCCGCTAAAAGCAGGCCGTCTGCTTCCTCGGCCTGCGCCAGCGGCTCCGTGCCCTCACTGGCCGGCGCGGGCAAGGAAGGCGCCGGCGAGCTTGCCGGGGCGTCCGCGCCCGCCGGGGAGACGACGGCGCGGCCCTCGTGGTCCGCCCACCGGGGACGTTGGACCAATTCGCTCGCAGGGCCCCCTCCGCCCTCGCGCGTCCGCCCGCCGCCGCAGCGCTCGAACGGGGCCAGACCGTCGCGGTCGGGCAACGCAGGCCACAACGGCGCACAGCGGCCGCTAGCAACGAGGCGGCGCAGGGAAAGTTCGCCCTGTCCATCTGGGTTTGGGATGCTCTCGCCAGGCTGCGATTGGTCGGAATGATGCAAATCGAAATGTTTGTCCTCCCCATCCCTCCCAGATCTCTGAGCGTCATCCGCGTCGCCCTTATCCGCCTGTGCTCGGGCGGGGACTCCACTTGAACGAAATGGATGGCATCGGCGGGTCTAGAGCCTGCCGCCCCGGCCCTCGAAGGGCCCCCCACTCCCCGCATCGCCCAGAGATTGGCGGGCATGGCCCATGCAGGGTCGAAAGGCTTGGTGGCGTAGCGTCGACAAGAATGATGGTGCAGCATCGACAGGAACGATGACCCCGCGGAGTTAGTTCATTGGGCGCCAACGCCCGGGCCCGCCCCCTCGAAACCCCCCGTCGACGCCCACCCCCGCGACTACGTCGACGGCC